AGTTCAGATGCCCAAGCGCTAACCAGGCTATATCGTCTTTTATAGTTGAGGCTCCATGGACAGTCTCATGTGAACCTCCTACTGAAGCAGAGGTACGATCTTGCATCCAAGTCCTGAAAAAAGGAAAAGCAGCAGGACCTGACTCACTCTTTTCAAGATTGGGGTGAGGGGTGAGGGCGATAACCTCGTGGATTCCATTACTGATTTTATACGTAACATCTGGTCACAAGAGCGCATTCCATCATTTTGGAGCGAATCGCTGATTATTACAATTTTCAAGAAGGGATCTCGCAAAGACTGCGCAAATCACCGTGGAATAAGTTTGATCCCAATCGTTACCAAGCTCTTAGCCTCTGTCATACTTCGACTTCTGACACCGTTTAGGGAGATAAATATCTGCAGACAGACAACAGGCAAGATTTCGACCAGGTCGCGGTTGTACCGACCAAATCACGCTGTGTCAAGTTCTCGAGTTACGGCATACACACCGTAGATCAACGGTTGTGTTCCTTAAAGGAACCTTCGACTCAGTTGACTGCGAATTCCTTATGGGTTCATCCCTTCGTAGAGGGATACCGCAGAACTATGTGAACATGCTGAGGTCACTCTACTCGCATACTTGTGGTAGCGCCAGGGTCTACGACTAGCTGAGTGGGTCGTTCGTAACTAGCAGCGGTTTGTCAAGAGTGCCCTATTTCTCCCTTCCTGTTCAATTTCGTAATAAACGAAATACTGGAGAACGCGCCAAGTGGTTTCCAAAATGTTGGTATTGAATGAGCAGCTGGAGAAAAGCTGTGCGACTTAGAGTACACTGATGACATCGTTTTCCTGTTCCGATGATTGGAGGATGCACAATTGCACTTGACAGACTAGCTCCGTCGCTCCGTTCGGCATGCGCTTTGTACCTTTGAAATGCAAAGTGGTGCTGCAAGACTGGGCCGAGTCCCGTTCTGAAACTAGATAGTGAGGAATTAGCTGAAGTCGACTGCTTCTCGTACTTGATTAGCTGCGTAACCAACGACGGTAGCGCATGAAAGGCAATAGCCACCCGGATTTCCAAGGCTCAAACAGCGTACACAGAACTATAACACCTGTGGCAACGACGTGATGTTTTACTGAAGTTGAAAAGTCGCGTATACTGCGCCACTGTACGCTCATTTATGCTTTACAGTTGTAAGGCGTTGAATTTGCAGTTAGAAGACATCCGTCGTCCATTGTTTTTCAACAATCGATACTTACATAGTCTGGCCTAGGTTGGATGAATTGAGCGGGTTAGTAACTTAGACGTAAGTCGTCGGGTGTTTGGGAATACATAAACCACGAACTCGCTGTTACATCGAATTCGGTTCAATAGGCTCTGGTTGCTTGGACACGTTTAGCGCATGTCTAGCGGTCGCTTACCGCACCGTGCCTTATTTGCAGTGGTTGCTGCAGACTGGAGAAAATCACGTGGAGGCCAGAAGATTGCGTAGAAACGAGGCATGAAGAAATGCACAGAGCGATTAGGTAGAGTAGGTATCTCTCGTATTTCGGGTTGGGATCCAAAAGACTCCGTAACCATATGGTTGGAGACACAGAAGGTCACGGTAGCAAACCGACAACAGTGGCGATCTTACTGTCACTTCTTATTGGACCAGAATGCTTGAAAACGTTTGTATGCATGGTTGGATTGTGTACTCTGTGTTGATCATAGAGTTTCTCTTTCTTTTCCCGTCCTCAAAAATGGGTTCAATCCCTATCCTATTACACATCCTCATCTCCCTTTTCTGCATTATGAGTTTTGCAGCAATCAGTGAAGTTCGCTTCACTGTGTTGCAATGAATAGTGTTACTGATGATGTTTTCCAAGCAAAGGTGTACCCCAACCACCGAGCCGACAAAACCGATATAGAAATATTTACGATAAATCATCTTGGCAGCCTCCCTACCGTCGAGGACTTGAGAAAGAATCTTTCAACCCTTAATTAAGTTGCTGTTCGATCAGAATCCACCAAGTGTTTATGTTCACGCGAGGTCACAACTAATTCAGAACATGTAATTAGGCTGATATGGGGATCGGTTAGTGGCTGTCAAGCAGCCAGTCAAAACTGCCACTTGATTCGGCTCCACTGTACTACTCCAGCATCCGCCAGGATAAGTGTGCTTTCTTCTTTAGTGAGCTGCCCCTAGTCGGTCATACATACATACACAATTTGGTTTGGAGATGCCCTTTACGTTTGAAAGCTTGTCTTTCAGTTCCATCTCCAGTGACCTGGGTTACGAATCGCAAATTCTGGCATTGAGTATCTCTTAGTGCTAAAGTTTTATACTACTTAGCAGATAGCCTGGAAGTTCACCGCTAATGGGATCTTCTCTTAAGAGTCATTATGGACTTGTTTTCAAACTAGCATAGTTAACTGACCAATCCGCGAATAGTTGTTTCCTAAACTTTGCAATATTCCGTGATCTGTGGCTCCAAGGGAATAACGATGAGGGTGCGTGATCGAGCAAAACCAATTATTCCTTGTGTGCAAGAAATCCATGTATGCCGTACAAATATCAGCTCTCGTTATTATTGTTCAATTCTATCGTAAAATTGCATGACATTTTGCCATTCACACTTTTGGTTCTTCTGTCACTCATATGTTGCCACGGTCTTGACGATCGATTGCCGACTTCATAAAATTCGAGTTTTCTGCTTTGAATTTTATCAAAGGTCCATCCATATAGATTTGCTGCTGTGGACTGTATGTGCGACCGTATATGGCAAAAAATTCAACGTCATATTTAGTCCAAGTTCTCGTTTCTCTTCAGGCGGATTACCGACACAAATAACATTTAATTATCAAAATCCATTTCAAATATCAAATGGTTGCTGTCTTACCGAACTCCCCACTTTCCAGGACTTCTTTTTTACCCAAGCACCATATACTGCAAGCATAAGATTACTCATCTGAATAAACTCCCGCAAGAAAAACTAAATGATTGTCTCCTGCAGCGAATCCTCTGTATTATTTTCATGAGAGCATGAACGGGCATCACAATCACAGGATAGGTTGAATTCAGCTATTTCGTGGTAATCTCATCAACTGTCTACATACATGCAGATGACCTCTGGTTAAGAGTGACAGACTTGAGAAGAAGCAAGCACACGGGGTAGAGAGTTCAACCATTACTGAGGGTGAAAGTCGACTACCCCGAATCGGATTGGGCTCAGGGACAGGGAGCGTAAGCATTACCAGGTTGGCCACTTGAGGAATTCGCGTTTGGCAAGGGTTTTGGAGTTTAATACGTTGTATTTCTTGTCAGACTGCAAACGGATTTCTGTAATGTAATATAAGAATCGCAGCAAATTTGTAAACCTGATCGGAATCCCAATTCAACTCAGTTGTGAATTGCATGTCGGAGAACATTTATTTGGGAGCCAAACGTGAATTAGGACATGGGTTAAGCGAGCTTATAGGTTCACTTCAAACTCAAATCCTGTAGTTGTAAGGGCTTTCCTTCCAAAGAGGCGTATTGCGTCAGTGATACGTGCTTTCTCTCAGGAGTGTTTTTTTAAATTCTCTCTTAGTTCTTCTTCCCTGTGTGGTCCGTTGAAGGTTGACTTCAAGTTGCAGAAGCGTCATCTCACTGATTAGCCGTAATTCCCGAATTACCTTACCTGTTCAGTTAAGAAATATTTATGACATATAGTGTTATGTTTACTTCAAGTTTGCAGAGAAAATTTTGTTGCAATTTGTCTGTATGCCAACGACCGTTTTAGTCCATCTCACATGTGTGCGTGCAGAGACTCTTTGAAATAGCCTACCCAGAAAAGTCGTCTTCAACCCTGGTACTCCCTTGCTAATTGATCTGCATTTTTGCACTTGGTCTGTTTTGGTGAGTTTCGCAACGGTTCTTTTTGGCTGACAGCTTAAGTCTGACTTGGTAAAACCTGAATGCAGATACAAAGATGCGATACAATACGAAACAGCTGTTGTAGTCTGCAGCAGCTTTAAGTATGACGCAACTTCAAGTTCGAGCCTTGTATACAATATGAGTTTGGCAGCGATCAGTGATGTTCACTGCACTGTACAATGATGGTGATGAGCATTCAGGGTAAAAGATTATCATGAATTACCGCTAGTTCTTCTTGTCTAAGATGGCTAATCCATTCTTCCATTCATCATCCAAGGTTGTATTTAGTAAAAACTGTATATTGTTTATTGGATATGTTCTGGTGAAGTGACTCGACTGGATTTTAAAGGTACTAGTCCAGAATGTCTGTGTCTGATGGTATCTTTGAATCATATTCACCCAACTTACTTGATCATANTCATAACTGTTGTTTGCCATGTTTTTGTTCTCAAACTGCTATCAAGAATCACGCTTGCGATTGTACACTAGTCCATAAATGTTCTGTGTGAAACTTGTGACACACGAATTCCATGTTTTCCGATCATCCTACTTTCTTCATAGAACGCAACGGAGCAATACCAGACAGTCTTATTCCTTATGACCCATCTATTTATTTTCACATTCTCAGGCTGGCACAAACTTCAAACACAGTTGAAACAAAACAAGCCATTCAGACTTTGGTCGCCTTGGTCGGACGTCTAGTGGTTTGCGGTGCGGTCGAATTGCGTCCGAAACCTGGCGCAGGAGAGCAGATTCACGTCATGCCTGGTTTCCGTGTCCCAATGCCGAAGACCGGAGGTATGCTAGTAGTCACATGCATGCATATGTAATTTTAGGGGTGATAAAGGAGGGAGAGGCAAGTGGCTGATTTGATAACGGTGGGAGGCATGCACAAGTTTAGGTTGAGATCTGTAGAGTCGAGTTGGTTCATTGCCTCCCTCTACCCCCTACTTTCTGTTTTGCAATAACATTTTATGATGGTTGATACAAAAACCATCGATTTTCTTGCACACTTTCATACTGCAAGTCAGTTACCTGCAATTGTTCGTGTGCTTACTTTATCCAGTAGGTAATAAATTTAATGATTCTAAGGCCTTGCTATACTTCGTCACTTCAACATGTGCCTGGTGTTTATACGAACACAACATCGTAATGTAGATCAAATTGTTCTCTATGCGATATTCAAATACCCTCAGTCCGTCTAATTTGTTTCTTGCTTATTCGTTATTATGCAATGTTCAGTTTCAGTTTGTGTAACAGTTAAGCATGCACCTTCGTGCGCCGGTTTTGGTTACTGTCTTTTGGCTCCCCATTTGGATGAAGCAGTAAAGACAGGAAAGTTGGAAGTAGAGTGGAAGAGAAAATGGGGAAATTCATTGGACTAAGGTTGTAAAACAATTGAGAAGATGCAAGAACGCCACTGTTTACGCCACTCAGCTATATTATTCAGTGTCTCTAATCACCGGTTACGATCATCCCGAGGTCCCCAGGTCTCCAGAAGCTCTCACACGGGTGCTTCGTTCACAGCCCCGCGTTGGATCGACGCCCCACTGCCTTGCGGGTCAGACTTTTGAATCAAAGGCTCCGGTTAGGGTTCCCAAAGAAAAATCCCTTCGTCGGTGTGGGCAACCGCGAAGTATGCCGTGCCCCAGTCTTAGATACCCATTTGGAAAACCATCTTTCTCAACCGTCTACTTCCTCTTCTCACTCCCATCCTGTTTGTGCCATCTCCTTGCGTTCTCTAGATCCAACCTCATCTTCACGTTTTACTCTGTGCCAGGCGATTCGGCATCTGTAGCTCGCGGTGTTGCTGGTGTTGGGATTGTGCTGAGCTTCGAAGCCGAGTGTTCACTTCTCGACTGGTTTTCGGTTAACAGCCCACTTTGCGTTGCACGTCTGGATGGTTCAGTACTAGTCAACAGCTACAGAACGAATCGTCAATGTTTATTCGTCGTATCCGTGTATGCACCGACAGATTTCAGTTCGCCAGAAATAAAGGATGAATTCTATACGGATCTCTCGCAACTGCTTCAAAGTGCTCGGTCAGCATACATCGTGGTAGTCGCTGGAGACTTCAATGCTGAAGTGGTACCCCTGGACGAATCAAAAAGGCTACTTGGTGGCTCACATGCAATCCCAGCGAACCGGACTGACAACGAAGAACGCTTACTCCAACTTTGCATCCTCCTCCTCCTCGTCAACATCACCATCATCATATAGCGAGATACAGTGAGGCGAACTTCACTGATCGCTGCCAAGCTCAAAAATCAAGTGATGAAGCACAAGATGGAGAGGGATTGGGCCTACTTGGAGAGAGGCAAAGAAAAAAAACCTCTACGATCAACACACAGGTACACAATCTAGGTGTGCATACATACCTTTTCAAGCATTCTGACCTGATAAGAAATGACAGCAAGAACGCCAGTGCTGTCGGGTAGTCGCCATATCCTTCAGTGTCTCTAACCAGCCAGTTGCAGAGTCTTTCGGACCCCAACCTGGAAAACGGGAGACACCGATTCTACCCAACCTCTCTGTGTATTCCTTCATGCCTCGCTTCCACGTCATCTGTTGACTTCCACGTGGTATGTTCCAACCTAGAGCCGCAACCGCGAATAAGGTGCGGTGCGCTAGACGATGACTGGGCATGCGCAAGACGTGTCCTAACCAGCGAAGCCGACTAATCTGAATCCGATGGGACAACGAACTCCCCATCGAATCATTACCAAATACGGGACGATTTACCTCAGAGTTGCTTACAAGCTCGCTCCATCCAACCCGAGCCAAACTACGTAAACATCTGCAGTCGAATACTTCAAGACGACGAATATCTTCCACGCGCAAATTTAGGGTCCCGCAACCATAGAGCAGAACTGGCCGCACACTGGCGCCGTATGCACGACCTTTCAGTTTCAACGAAACATCGCGTCTACACCAAAGGTGTTTCAATCCTGCGTAAGTTGCTCGAGCATTGGAAATGCGGTTACTCCACTGATTATGCTACCGTCGTTTGTCACGCAGCTACCTAAGTAGGTGAAACATTCCACTACAGCTAATTCTTGACCATCAAGCACAGCGCTGGGGTAGACGACAACCAATCTTGCAGCATCATTTTGCACTTTGAAGGTGAAAAGCGCATGCTGAAAGGAGATAGAGAAGTTGCTAGTCTGTCAAGAGCGCATTGCGCCTCCTCCATAGATTCGAACAGGCATACGATGTCATCAGCGTACTCTAAATCGCACAGCTTTCTCCATCTGCCCATCCAATGCCTACCTCTTGGAGACCAGCAAGTGAGTTCTCTGTCGAAATACTGCTATGGAAGCTGGTAATTGAGTCGACAAGAGAATCGCCGCCCACCTTGAAAAAAATAGGGAGAAGCCCATCAGGTCCGACTGCCTTTCTATTTTTGACTGATTGAATGCAGCGTTGTACTTCCAATTTAGATGGGGTCTCGCATGTTACCACCCATGGGGTTTCCACCGCAATTGCTGGACTGATCACATTAGCACTGGGTCAATTGAACTGTTCACTAGAATACTGTGCCCAGCGATCAAGTCGTTGTCCTTTATTGTGGATACTCTGTTCACTTTTATCGCAAATGTTTTCATTGACCGGTGTGCGACGGTGCTGCTTATAAGAAGAAACAGTCTGACTATTCCCTGATGCAGAAGCTACCTCCATCTCATTAGCTATTTGGGTCCACCAATTTTCGCGTTCTTTCTTAAGGCTTTTCCTGAGTTGCCGTTGCAGGCGACACCGGTCTTTATGCTGATTCTGGCAGATTGGGATCTTTCACTTTTGATCCATCAGGATTACTGACTCCTGAGAGATCCAGTGCCTTCGGCGAGCTTCGAGTTCAGTCCCAAAAGCGAAGTTTGCTGCTGAGTGCATCGCAAATCTAATTTGATACCAC